GACGACGTACGGTTTATGAAGATATTCGTCGAAGGCCAGGAATGCTTCTTGCAGTCAGTTGCTGGCTGGAATCGATTTCGTAGGTGTGTTGTTCGAATCCAGTTGTCGTGTCGATTATTGGTTACGCGTGGCCTGCCACTCCGAGGATGGTCTCTGACTGCATTCGTCTGTTGCCAACGTTGCCATATATACCAAATGTTGTTTCTGTGGACGTTAAATTGTCTTGCAACATCACGTTGATTCGATCCTGCTTCGAGCATACCAGTTGCTCGCAGACGCTCAATTTCGGACAGGCGTGGCATTTCGTAATGTTCAATAATTGCGTAATTTTGTTGTTTTTTCTGAGTGGTTGTCGTCAGCTCGATGCTAAACAATGCATAAGGAATCCCCTTAACACACATGTTTTTAATACCCATTGTGGGGTAGTGAAATGCAGGGGCTTGCATAAAAGTCAACTTTTGCATGGAATGCATGCTTTTCTGTAGCAGTTGCGTTTTTGTGACTTGATTCCATACATGTACTTCAATATTGAAAACCAAACTTTACTTGTTTGAAAAATACACTAAAATATTGGTGTCACAGGAAGTTTTGTTGTTGAGTAGTTGTACCTTGCCTTTTTGTCGCCAACTGGTGTATTAAAGTCTATGTTATATACGTCCAAAAGTGGAATATTAGACTGCATTTCCTACAATGAATTTGAATTGAAAGAAATTGTACATATATTAGTATCCAGGCTATCCTTAATACTACTCAGAGTACCCTTACTATTTTACAACTATTAAGGCAACCCTTCCTAGCGCAGCTAGTAGTCACACTACCCTTCTTAGTACTAGTAGTACTGCTGCTGCTACTACCACCACTACTACTACTACTACTACTACTACTACTACTACTACTACTACTACTACTACATGAGCTGACGGTGTGAGTGCAACCCAGTATGCAAATACAGCTGGTCATGGCTGTGTCATAGTCATGCATGCGTTGGACGGCGCCCGGGTAAGTGAGATGGCTTGTGAGATGGCGCCCTGGAAGAGTGAGATAGCGACAGGTTGAGTGAGATGGCGATCGGGTGAGTGAGATGGCGCCCTGGAAGAGTGAGATAGCGGCCGGGTGAGTGAGATGGCTAGTGAGATGGCGCCCTGGAAGAGTGAGATAGCGACAGGTTAAGTGAGATGGCGATCGGGTGAGTGAGATGGCGCCCTGGAAGAGTGAGATAGCGGCCGGGTGAGTGAGATGGCTAGTGAGATGGCGTCCGGGTGAGTGAGATGGCTAGTGAGATGGCGTCCGGGTGAGTGAGATTGCGATCGGGTGAGTGAGATGGTTAGTGAGATGGCGTCCGGGTGAGTGAGATGGTGTCCGGGTGAGTGAGATGGCTAGTGAGATGGCGTCCGTGTGAGTGAGATGGCTAGTGAGATGGCGTCCGGGTGAGTGAGATGGCGTCCAGGTGAGTGAGATGGCTAGTGAGATGGCGACCGGGTGAGTGAGATGGCGTCCTGGTGAGTGAGATGGCGATCGGGTGAGTGAGATGGCTAGTGAGATGGCGTCCGGGTGAGTGAGATGGCGACCGGGTGAGTGCGATGGCGATCGGGTGAGTGAGATGGCGCCCGTGTGAGTGAGATGGCGACCGGGTGAGTGAGATGGCGTCCGGGTAAGTGAGATGGCGTCCGGGTGAGTGAGATGGCGATCGGGTAAGTGAGATGGCGTCCGGGTGAGTGAGATGGCGACCGGGTGAGTGAGATGGCGACCGGGTAAGTGAGATGGCGACCGGGTGAGTGAGATGGCGTCCGGGTAAGTGAGATGGCGTCCGGGTGAGTGAGATGGCGATCGGGTAAGTGAGATGGCGATCGGGTAAGTGAGATGGCGCCCGTGTGGGTGAGATGGCGATCGGGTAAGTGAGGTGGCGACCGGGTGAGTGAGATGGCGACCGGGTAAGTGAGATGGCTAGTGAGATGGCGACCGGGTGAGTGAGATGGCGACCGGGTAAGTGAGATGGCTAGTGAGATGGCGATCGGGTAAGTGAGATGGCGCCCGTGTGGGTGAGATGGCGATCGGGTAAGTGAGGTGGCGACCGGGTAAGTGAGATGGCTAGTGAGATGGCGACCGGGTGAGTGAGATGGCTATTGAGATGGCGTCCGGCTGAGTGAGATGGCGTCCAGGTGAGTGAGATGGCTAGTGAGATGGTGTCCGGGTGAGTGAGATGGCGTCCGGGTGAGTGAGATGGCTAGTGAGATGGCGACCGGGTAAGTGAGATGGCTAGTGAGATGGCGACCGGGTGAGTGAGATGGCGACCGGGTAAGTGAGATGGCTAGTGAGATGGCGATCGGGTAAGTGAGATGGCGCCCGTGTGAGTGAGATGGCGCCCGTGTGAGTGAGATGGCGCCCGTGTGGGTGAGATGGCGATCGGGTAAGTGAGGTGGCGTCCGGGTAAGTGAGATGGCTAGTGAGATGGCGACCGGGTGAGTGAGATGGCTATTGAGATGGCGTCCGGCTGAGTGAGATGGCGTCCAGGTGAGTGAGATGGCTAGTGAGATGGTGTCCGGGTGAGTGAGATGGCGTCCGGGTGAGTGAGATGGCGATCGGGTGAGTGAGATGGCTAGTGAGATGGCGCCCGGGTGAGTGAGATGGCGCCCGTGTGAGTGAGATGGCGTCCGGGTGAGAGAGATGGCTAGTGAGATGGCGACCGGGTGAGTGAGATGGCTAGTGAGATGGCGCCCGTGTGAGTGAGATTGCGCCCGGGAGAGTGAGATGGCTAATGAGATCGCGTCCGGGTGAGTGAGATGGCGCCCGTGTGAGTGAGATGGCTAGTGAGATGGCGCCCGTGTGAGTGAGATGGCTAGTGAGACGGCGCCCGGGTAAGTGAGATGGCTCCCGGGAGGGTGAGACGGCGCCCGGGTAAGTGAGATGGCGACCGGGTGAGTGAGACGGTTACTCTGTAAGTGAGATGCCGACTTTGTTAGTGAGATGGCGCCAAGGTCAGTGAGATGGCGCCCGGGTTAGTTAGATGCCGACCGAATGACGACATTGGATCGTTGCTTCTGCTGTCACAATCACTGGTTGACCTGGTATGGTTTCGATTATGTTCTAACCGACACCAAAATAACTGAAATAGTTCATGACTGCTCGTGAAGCACACATTCACATCACTGTTAGTCTGCTTGTCACCTGACATTTACACTTTTCGTGACATATTGCAATGAACATTGGAGGGGTTATATGCTATATACAAGTTCATGCGTGCCACGCTTAAATATACCCGTTCGTAAATATATCTACAACATGATTTCAGTTGTGAATGAATCACCTGAAATAGTTATTGTTTTATATCATGTCATATCAGATCCTAGCAATGTAATCAGAGACGAACACTTCCAGTCTACATGCGATGTCAGCGAACAATACAGTGCTTAATGTCACGCTGATACAAGGCTAATGTATACACAAACATCTACAAACACGAGTAATGAAAACACAGGTACATGAAATCTCCCTAACAAATGACTATGTGATGAATGTCTGCTCACTGCGTCTAGCACTTTGTGTATTATATAATCTGCTCATTCTTCCATTCTCACCAGTCACTGTGCAGGGTACCAGAATCCAGTGATTCTAATCCAAGATTCGACACGTTATATTTGTTACGGTTCTATTCTCTGGGGTGCTATGTGTTATGGTTGAATTACAGATTGAATTATTTTTATGAACGTAATTAAGTTCTGTGGGTTTTTTCGTCTCTGTCGGCGGTCATATTGCAAAGAGAGATTACAATATTCTTCATGTACAAAATGATACATTAACAAGTTGACGAAGCTATTCGGTATATCAGGGGTAATGGTTAGATTATTGACGATTTTGAAATTAGGTAAGCTTAATTGGAGTATGGTTGGTGACTCTGCTTGTCGATGTGTTATTTCATGCATGCCACGTTGTCGTCCTGGTACCATTTGCAGCAATAAACAATCAGTGCGGAATGATGGTAACACGATACGTATTGCCACGGTAACGATCGGAGAGCATTGGTATAAGGACTCGGGGAATGAACAGTGTTGTGATGACATTGAAAACAAGAGAATGATGTAAGAGTGAGTGAATGAGCATATCTGTGATGACGTTGTGCCCTAGAAAATGGAAGTGTGACAATGAATCCGAGAGAATGATGGGGGAGTGAATGAATCATTGAGCATTGCTGTGATGACATTAACACGAGAGAATGATGGGAGAGTGAATGAATCATTGAGCAATGCTGTGATGACATTTAACACGAGAGAATGATGGGAGAGTGAATGAATCATTGAGCATTGCTGTGATGACACTTAACACGAGATGATGATGGGAGAGTGAATGAATCATTGAGCAATGCTGTGATGACACTGAACACGAGAGAATGATGGGAGAGTGAATGAATCATTGAGCATTGCTGTGATGACACTGAACACGAGAGAATGATGGGAGAGTGAATGAATCATTGAGCAATGCTGTGATGACACTTAACACGAGAGAATGATGGGAGAGTGAATGAATCATTGAGCAATGCTGTGATGACACTTAACACGAGAGAATGATGGGAGAGTGAATGAATCATTGAGCATTACTGTGATGACACTTAACACGAGAGAATGATGGGAAAGTGAATGAATCATTGAGCATTGATTTCGGTCGACTGTAGGATTAACAAAACATACGTACGGTCAACTATGCGTCCATAGATAAATTGCAAATCTTTTCATGTTTTTAACGAAGGGGCTCAAGTGATTTGCTGTACTTGGCGAGGTAAAACCAGTATTATTACAATATAGATCTTGATTATCAATCGCCATGTTGTTTGAAGCTAATGAAACTGATGTGAGAGATGGAATCTGATCGGTCAATCGAATGGACACAGAAGGGACATAACTCGTAATAGCCACTGGTGGCGCTCCGATCGAGCCCTGAAATTCTAACCTAGTTCGGCAAGGTTGGAAACATGACTTTATAGTTAATTATCTCCCTTGCCACGGGACGATGTGACACGGGAGCACGCGAGAACGCTACCTGGAGCTTTCCACGATGGTGATAGCTTCTCTCAACTGCCATAGCTCTGTGGATTAATATTGCTGAAGGTATCCTGACATCATTGCAGATAGTCAATAATGATATCCTCTTACTGTCCCAGAAAACCGAAGCCATGACTTTGCCAACTGACCACACCGCCTATACGTCAGTCGTGGATCAGGCTTCTACGGTTTGCTCTGAAGTTTTGAATCGGGGTCAAAGTGAAGATTTCAGATACCATCATGGATTACAATTCGTTTAAACATGATCAGAAGTATTCTGATAACTGGTGAAAAGTCCCTTGGTATGTTGAGTCGGACCGTGTTCTTCACATCTTTGTATATTTGCTTTGGTGACATGCTCTGTTCATGTATGTACTCAATCACAGCTTGTGTGTCAGTTTTCCCCAATTTCGACGGTTCTCTTACCCTTGTCAATTTCTCTTGTTAACTTCTCGAAAACAGATGCACTTATTAGTCTGTAACTTTGTTGACTTTGTGATGATACATTACTCAAAACAATTTATATAAGGCCACAAACTATTGAAGTATTGGAAATACGATCGACCTGTACATGCAATCTACTGCGTCTTGGTGATATGGGGATTTATCCCCGTATAGGTAAAACACATCGAGGAATGTTGATACAACATAGCTTATGGATAGATTTCTATCTATTAAATATTCGTGTCCCAGATGCGCGAATATATCTTGTAAACCTTTGTTTACTATATGGATGTTTTGTTTATAGAAACCAGGTAAACTATCTTCAGAGTAAACATAGTTTACCTTATTTAAGCACATGCCAGAAACGATAATACCATAGTAGGGTCAGCTGACGCCTAAATTAACTCCTTACATATAATATTATATATGATAACCTAACTTTGCTTTGTTTGGTATCAGACGGGATGTCATATGAAAAATGATCGCCATGTATGCATCATAATCCGAATTGATTTATTTATATCAGTTATGTCAACTCTCAATATACGGGTATTATATTTCCTGTGTTTAGACGGACAAACAGAAAGAGATTGAATGTACGTTGAACCCAGTTAAGTCAACAGTCCTTTGAATAGGCTGAATGACCGCGGCGCACAGTTGTTTCCAAGATGTCGACCTACTTACACAGGGTCTTGTTCCTCGTGCTGGGTCTGTCGTCAACTGTACAGGGTACTGATGGTGAGTATTTAGGCTATCAGACGAGAATGACAGTAGCAAGTATTTCAGGTAGCCAGTAGCAGATCATCCGCTATAAATAACACAGCGAGGTGTGGATATGATGTACTAGACGTAAAGAATAAGCTCATCTATAGGGCTTTGTGGTGTTGTCAATTGTACAGCAACGAATGTGAATAGGTCACATCTATTTCTTATTCACTTACACGTGTCTTTTTTTATGACAGGCATCAAAGCATTCTTGAGGTTTTCTCCACAAAGCCTCAAGGACAGCCGCGGCTGTCACCTCCCCGTGACTCTCTCCTTCAGTATCAGAGCAGGACCCTACAACTGCAGTATCAACGTGACCACCAACACTCATGTGGACGTCAACGTCCCGGTGTATACCCCGAGAGGGGGCGAGGGGGAGGGGTACATCTCACAGAGCACTCTGCAGATTCAGGTGCATCAACATGTTTCTTAATGTATTCAGTTGATATGATCTGTCTATTACTGCACAATATGAAAAGAGGACCGCGCATCGTGTGTCGGCCTGAAAAGACATCCTTAAAGATGAAAGAAAGAATTTGCTGCATGTATAGGATGCATTCTGGAGGAGGTATTCTCCATGAATGAGTTAGGTTTAACGCCGCTTTTAACAGTATCGCAGTTATATCGCGGCGTGTCAGCTTAATGTGGGAGGAAAGCCCGAATTGATGCAGGCCTCATACGTTTACCACTTTGGGTAATAACCATGAGCATGGGTATGGTGCTGACAAACCTAGAAACATTATCGGGGCAAACCGGGAATCGAACCCACAATCATAGGTTTCTGGTGTGCCCAAGGGACGCAACTCTGCACAGCGAGTCCCGGCTCCCTAGACGACTGGCCTACCCGTGCCCCTGTATTCTCTATGAACCAAGTTCCTGAACACAATAGTCATGTCGTCCCTGATGTTTAACTTCGTGTGTTCTTCAGGAGCAAATAAAATATATTTAAAATATATTCGTGTTTACATAATGGACGCGGTGACATACGATATTGATATATGATTTCAGACCAAGTTCTATCACAACTATACATCAATGACAACCATGAAAGTTACCTGTCATCGTTTAAAGAATGGAGTGCAGCTGGTGGTGGTAGGACATCCTCATCTTCTTATTTGTGTTCCAGGTACCATGATGATGTCTAACAACAGGCACCCATACCCATGATGTAAGTGGATGTAGTAGAAACACACGTTGCGTGGATGTAGTAAAAGCACACGTTGTTGGATGTAGTAGAAGCACACGTTAACGGATGTAGTAGAAGCACACGTTAATGGATATAGTAGAAGCATACGTTAATGGATATAGTACAAGCACACGTTGAGTGGATGTAGTAGAAGCACACGTTAATGGATATAGTAGAAGCACACGTTAATGGATGTAGGAAAAGCACACGTTGCGTGGATGTAGTAGAAGCACACGTTAATGGATATAGTAAAAGCACACGTTAATGGATATAGTAGAAACACACGTTAATGGATGTAGTAGAAGCACACTTTAATGGATATAGGAGAAGCACCCGTTAATGGATATAGTAGAAGCACACGTTGAGTGGATGTGGTAGAAGCACACGTTAATTGATGTAGTAGAAGCACACGTTAATGGATGTAGTAGAAGCACACGTTAGTGGGTGTAGTAGAAGCACACGTTCCGTGGATGTGGTAGAAGCACACGTTGCGTGGATGTAGTAGAAGCAAACGTTAATGGTAAAGTAGAAGCACACGTTGCGTGGATGTAGTAGAAGCACACGTTAATGGATGTAGTAGAAGCACACGTTGCGTGGATGTAGTAGAAGCACACGTTAATGGATGAAGTAGAAGCACGCGTTTATGTATATAGCAGAAGCACACGTTGCGTGGATGAAGTAGAAGCACGCGTTTATGTATATAGGAGAAGCACACGTTAATGGATATAGTAGAAGCAAACGTTAATAGATGTAGTAGAAGCACACGTTGCGTGGATGTTGTAGAAGCACACGTTAATAGATGTAGTATAAGCACACGTTAATGGATATAGTAGAAACACACGTTAATGGATATAGGAGAAGCACACGTTAATGGATATAGTAGAAGCACACGTTAATGGATGTGGTAGAAGCACACGTTAATGGATGTAGTAGAAGCACACGTTAATGGATGTAGTAGAAGCACACGTTAATAGATGTGGTAGAAGCACACGTTAATGGATATAGTAGAAGCAGACGTTGCGTGGATGTAGTAGAAGCACACGTTAATGGATGTAGTAGAAGCACACGTTGCGTGGATGTAGTACGAGCACACGTTAATGGATGTAGTAGAAGCACACGTTAATGGATGTAGTAGAAGCACACGTTAATGGATATAGTAGAAGCACACGTTGAGTGGATGTAGTAGAAGCACACGTTAATGGATGTAGTAGAAGCACACGTTAATGGATGTAGTAGAAGCACACGTTAATAGATGTGGTAGAAGCACACGTTAATGGATATAGTAGAAGCAGACGTTGAGTGGATGTAATAGAAGCACACGTTAATGGATGTAGTAGAAGCACACGTTGAGTGGATGTAGTACGAGCACACGTTAATGGATGTAGTAGAAGCACACGTTAATGGATGTAGTAGAAGCACACGTTAATGGATATAATAGAAGCACACGTTAATGGATGTAGTAGAGGCACACGTTGCGTGGATGTAGTAGAAGCACACGTTTATGTATATAGGAGAAGCACACGTTAATGGATATAGTAGAAGCACACGTTAATGGATGTAGTAGAAGCACACGTTGCGTGGATGTAGTAGAAGCACACGTTAATGGGTATAGTAAAAGCACACGTTAATGGATGTAGTAGAAGCAAACGTTAATGGATGTAGTAGAAGCACACGTTGCGTGGATGTAGTAGAAGCACACGTTAATGGGTATAGTAAAAGCACACGTTAATGGATGTAGTAGAAGCAAACGTTAATGGATGTAGTAGAAGCACACGTTGCGTGGATGTAGTAGAAGCACACGTTAATAGATGTAGTAGAAGCACACGTTAATGGATATAGGAGAAGCACACGTTAATGGATATAGTAGAAGCACACGTTAATGGATATAGGAGAAGCACACGTTGCGTGGATGTAGTAGAAGCACACGTTGCGTGGATGTAGCAGAAGCACACGTTAATGGATGTAGTAGAAGCACACGTTAATGGATATAGTAGAAGCACACGTTAATGGATATAGGAGAAGCACACGTTGCGTGGATGTATAATAGAAGCACACGTTAATGGATGTAGTAGAAGCACACGTTAATGGGTATAGGAGAAGCACACGTTTATGGATGTAGTAGAAGCACACGTTGCGTGGATGTATTAGAAGCACACGTTAATGGATATAGTAGAAGCTGACGTCAATGGATGTATTAGAAGCACACGTTAATGGATATAGGAGAAGCACACGTTGCGTGGATGTAGTAGAAGCACACGTTAATGGATGTAGTAGAAGCACACGTTGCGTGGATGTAGTAGAAGCACACGTTAATGGATGTAGTAGAAGCACACGTTGCGTGGATGTAGTAGAAGCACACGTTAATGGATGTAGTAGAAGCACACGTTAATGGATATAGTAGAAGCACACGTTAATGGATATAGGAGAAGCACACGTTGCGTGGATGTAGTAGAAGCACACGTTAATGGATGTAGTAGAAGCACACGTTGCGTGGATGTAGTAGAAGCACATGTTAATGGATGTAGTAGAAGCACACGTTAATGGATATAGTAGAAGCACACGTTAATGGATATAGTAGAAGCACACTTTAATGGATATATGAGAAGCATACGTTGCGTGGATGTAATAGAAGCACACGTTAATGGATGTAGTAGAAGCACACGTTAATGGATGTAGTAGAAGCACACGTTGCGTGGATGTAGTAGAAGCACACGTTAATGGATACAGTAGAAGCACACGTTAATGGATATAGGAGAAGCACACGTTGCGTGGATGTAGTAGAATCAAGCGTTAATGGATGTAGTAGAAGCACACGTTAATGGATATAGTAGAAGCACACGTTAATGGATATAGTAGAAGCACACTTTAATGGATATATGAGAAGCATACATTGCGTGGATGTAATAGAAGCACACGTTAATGGATGTAGTAGAAGCACACGTTGCGTGGATGTAGTAGAAGCACACGTTGCGTGGATGTAGTAGATGCACACGTTAATGGATATAGTAGAAGCACATGTAGTGTGAGACCCGTGACGATCCGGGGTAGAATAGGGCTTCAGCAACCAATGCTTGCCATAAAAGGCGGCCATGCTTGTCGTAAGAGGCAACTATCGAGATCGGGTGGTCAGGCTCGCTGACCTAGTTTGATGCATGCAATCGTTTCCCATTTGCGTGAATCGATGCTCAGTCACTGGATTGTCTGGTCCAGACTCGATTATTTACAGACCGCCGTCATATAGATGGAATATTGCTCAACAAACAAACAAAACAAAACATGTAGTGTTAGTGGACGTAGAAAAAACAAACGTTGCATTTGTGGATGTAGTAGAGGTACACGTTGCTTTAGTGGATGTAGTAGAAGTACACGTTGCATTAGTGGATGTAGTAGAAGTACAAGTTGCATTAGTGGATGTAGTAGAGGTACACGTTGCTTTAGTGGATGTAGTAGAAGTACACGTTGCATTAGTAGATGTAGTAGAAATACACGTTGCTTTAGTGGATGTAGTGGAAGTACACGTTGCTTTAGTGGATGTAGTAGAAGTGCACGTTGCTTTAGTGGATGTAGTAGAGAAGTACACGTTGCTTTAGTGGCTGTAGTAGAAATACACGTTGCTTTAGTGGATGTAGTAGAAGTACACGTTGCTTTAGTGGATGTAGTAGAATTACACATTGCTTTAGTGGATGTAGTAGAAGTACACGTTGCTTTAGTGGATGTAGTAGAAGTACACGTTGCTTTAGTGGATGTAGTAGAAGTACACATTGCTTTAGTGGATGTAGTAGAAGCACATGTAGTGTTAGAGGTTGTGGTATGCTGTGTGTGAAGCTATGTGGTTGTTATAGAGGAGAAGAGCTAAACAGGGATATACTTGAAGTGTATATATTTGGCTATACAATCACGGGAGGAAAATAACTTTCCATGTATGCACACACCATAAAGGAAAACAGGGTGACATACGTGGATCATTTCAGACAGCGGTATCAGTTAAAGCCGTCAACATGTCAAGTGTCAGGTGAAACGCACACTATGTCTGTGTGTACAATATCTAGTTTCACACATTGCCTCGGCGATGTTTATTGTCGTGACTGGCTAAGTAAACGTTGTATCCGTTGTATCATCATATCCGTACTGATGTTTTGTTACTAAATGTTATTGCCTCTTGAAACAAAAGGCGATTTGACAATTAGGACATTGTGGAAATTGTAACAAGGGGCGGACGATATTTCGGGGTGGGGGGGGGGGGGGGGGGGGGGGGGGGGAGGCAGGTCATTTTGTGTAAATAAAAAAATCAGCCTCCATCTTTTTGAATAATAATAACTCAGCCTCAATACAAATTCACGACCACAATATTGCCAGCCTCGTCAATCCAGAATATTTTGTGAGCAAATCCATGACCTTTGACAGAGAGACAGTATGCCTGTAACCCTCATTTATTAATAATCATTTCAAATCATGTTGACTGTGATGATAAATAATCATTAAGCATCATATAGCCTTATTGACGGGCAAAAGAAACGTTTTACACGTGCCTCGAAGTGACTCAAATGTTCCCAAAACGTTTTAGAAAATATTATCTCATCTACATATATCAGTATGTAACGCCAATTCGTTTCTTTTATTGGTTTGCAGAAATGCCACAGGAGCATTTTTAGACCAAAATGGAGGCAACTTCATCCAAAACACCATGGGGTGTAATTTAGGCCGACTTGTGTTTTGCATCTGGATGGAGTGGTATTTGCCAAAAGCCACTAGCACATTTAAACACCCTAAAAATATTGGCAGAGGTGGTACAGGGAAAAATATAGGTTTGGTAACTGCATTGAGGCGTCTGTAATCTCACACAGCGGTAAGAGCTATCATGTTTTCTAACCATGACAATGGGAGTGTGCCATTCAGAAGGACTGGACTGAATGATATTGGCTTCAAACATTTCTTGCACCTGTCTGGAAAATTCTTTCCTAATGGGTGCGCTGTGCCTATAAAAAGGGAGTCTAATGGGTATGGTGTCACCGGTTTCTATTTTATGATGTAAATGACTGTGTTCTAATTCTGACCAATCTGAGGCAAAAAATTATCTTTGTGATTGCAGAAATGCATTTTACTGTGTACTTGGACTTTCAATATTTTTAAAATGCTTTGGGGAAAAAAAAGCTCAGCGTTCAGGGGTATTGTTATAGTGCATGGCTAACCAACGACGTCGGCGATGAACTACTGCCTGTCTTCCGTCCATATAACGGACCATCAGCCTGGTGACTGTCATTCGGCTACAGCCAAAAGTCATAGCAACGTGGTCATGCATTGCTTCTTAATGTCTCATACCAATAGCCGGTTCTTTCAGTACCATTAATCTCAGCATGGTATTTGTCACTGTCCAGGGGTTTGGGTGTGGATGAACAGTACATCGTTCCTTTTATATTACTATCTTTGAAGGCTGGAATGCTGCACGTGCAGCAAACGTTTCACGTGCATTGCTCAGCAAACTGTTGTGGTTGTGTTTGGACGATTGGTTCTCAACCATTTTGTAACACTAATCGGGGTTTAGACCCACTTGTCCAACTTTCAGTTTGGTAACGTTTCTTTTTTTCGTCAGTTAACTTTAAAAGTTATGCCGTTTATGTCCACCATCCACATCATCTTAGTAATTAAAAAGTACTTTCCTCCAGTAGATGTGAGTACAAACATGTCAAGTTGACTGGGTGTTGTAAAAATTGGTCTTTTATTTATTATTTTAATATTCTGCTATTTTCATTGTTCTGTTTCAAAATCACCTTCATCTGTACAGTTATTATATTTGGTGAGAAAAATTTAACACTCCTTCTAAAGATTAAATTTGAAAAGTGCTGTAAGAAAATCTCAGCTTCCTTTTCAGAAGAAGAAAAATCTCAGCCCCTAAAGATGCATTCTCATTAAAATCAGATCTTAGTTCTCTTTATCGCTAAACAAATATCTGATGACATCCCCCGTCATCACGTCAGAACGACCTTTCATCCAACCAATCAGAGCGTCGCTTACCAGATCACAAAAGTGACAGACGGAATGCGTTTTCTGATCATGCAACCTCGAAATGTTTAACAGAGGGTATTCCCAACGACAGTAACGGGTTTTATTATTATATGTTTCGAAGCGTAGTCGACAGTTTGAAACTAATGTCGTAAAGCTCGAGAAAGCTGCCTTCTGATTGGCTAATGTCGATTTCTTGTCAGTCATTTCGCGAGAGGTCGCTCTGACGTGACCCGTAATGGGAGGTCCTCAGATCTTTGTTTAGGCGTAGCGAAAACTAAGATGTGATTTTTATGAGATTGCTCATGGGGATTGCTCCCCCACCACCCCAACCCCAGCCCCCAGTCCCCAGCCCCACCCCTCCTAAATATCAAATGGCCCTCCTCTAATGTCAAATCATGTGGAATAATTTCACCCATTGCCATTGCTTGGAATAAATATGCCAATGCAAACTCGTTTACTCGTTTTGTAATCAAAGTGTGGCGGTCATGTGTTATAGAATTAATTGACGTGGAAAGGAACACAATACACCAGAAAGGTATACGTAATTTCTCTTCTATTTACAACATTATGCGAATTAATTTGATTATTTTTGTATGAAACACTTTATATATACGAACCTCACACATTACAATTAAAAACATACTGGATAGCCGACTGAGGAACATCGGCCACCCATCGTCTATCTCCTGCTTACCGTTATTGTGATTGTCGTATGGTATTACTGGTTGGTTATCTGGCTATCAATAGGGGTATTACAGTGTAAACTGACAAGGTCCGATATAATGCAGTTTCTATGTTATCAGTCAGGATCCTTCATGACCAAGGATGGGGATGTATACAGCCTGGAGCGTGAAAGTCGAAGTCTGTCAGAAACAGTCCAATATAATGACGTGTACAGACTTGCTCAAGATGATGTATCGTACCTCAACCCACACCACGACTACAACATTCCACGTGAGTTATGGGTGTACATGTCGTCCAAAACATTGCAGATACACCGACAACATTAGCTCAATACCACTTATGTTTGACACGAGTTTGGGTTTGACACGTGTTGGGGTCTTTTGTTAGTGACACGAGGTGCCATAAGTGATGAATGACTTATGTTTGACTGGTGTTTACTTCTTGCGTCACGTCTTGGTATGTTTGTTGGTTACACAAGGTCCCGCCAGTGCTGGGTGACACTTATGTTTGACGTATGTTTACTTCTAGCGTCCAGTTCTGATGAGGAGGTCGATGTCAGTGGTAATCACAATAGCTACAGACATCGTCGCCAGGCTGACGACATCTTTATCGATGTACTCGTCTTCATAGAACACTCCCTCTACAGCAGGTCAGATTTTCAAACTACACGTGTTACGGAATTATCTCATTAGATATGAATATTAATTTTGTTCAACATTTATTCTTACAATACGACAGTTTATAAATTTCAATTCTACCGTATCATCGTAAATTTTCTCCTGTTTTTAAGCATGAAATATATTTTTCTGTGGGAACAGCATAACGAACCCTCTGCTGATTCCTACCTAGTTATTGATGTTGTTTATTCCGTCATGAGGCCCCCGGCCCATTATACAAGTAAATACTTACACTCATATATATTTGACAGAGAGCGCCAACATGTTTGCTTTATGATGTAGAGTAGTGGAAAGTATTACTACTAAGGATAATTAATGACATCTTTAAAATATCTATTACGTTTCTGAAGTGCAAAGAAAATATATTTCCCTAGACTGTTAAGTGAAGGCGGATTCGAGCTTGAGAATAGCATTTTAAATTTTTGCTGGTCTGGATGGACACAGTAATACTTTGGTAAAATGCTGTCTCTTAAATCTGCATGGAATGGACATTGGAGGCAGAAATGGTATTCTGATTCTACTATGAAGACTATGAAAAATGGACAAAATCTTACATTTCTGTTAATATTGTACTGTCGACCTATTTCTATCATTAAAGTATGACTAGAGCATCTAAATTTAGCTTAAGCTTTAAGATAGATCATACTGTGAAGACAAAAAATATAATCTTCGGAACCATATTCTATTTTAATATGTCTGCAAAAGTCTAACTTTGGAAAAGCTGTGATATTATCGTTCCATATCTGAACATCAATATCTTTACAGCGTTTCACAAATTGGTCAATAAAAAAATCAACGTAGCCAACTCCTTGATGGAGCCAAACGTCTCCAAAACCATACTTATATAACAAGAATTTAACATCATAAACCCAGCAATACACACACACACACACACACACACACACACACACACACACACACACACACACACACACCACCATCACCACACCACACACACACACCACACACCCCACACCCCACACCCCACACCACACACACCCCACCCCACCCCACCCAACTCTTATCGGCCTTACTGAACTCGAAGTGGTACGCATGCTTAAGAATACTATTTGATGTTTAGCTGAGCAATCACAACCAATAAGTGATGGGAATATTCTCTTATATTGAAAAACCATCACAGAAAATTTCCCAACTTCCCCTCTCGCAGCTTTATTCGGGGTTTGACGTTTAAGACCCAATACTAATTTACAAAACCTGTCATGAATTATATCAATATCTGGGGATGGGTGGAAACCCAATACCTCAGATCCATATAAAAAATGGCATGATTTTAATATCAAAGTTATGAAGCAGTATACTTATAGGAAGTTTTTGAAACATACAAGATTTACATTGTGATATTTGAATAACTTTCCAAGCTTGTTGCGCTAATATTCTATTTGGTTTAGTACAATGAGGCAGATGAGGAACAAAATGAACACACACACTATTTCAAGATAATTTGTGTTAAAGCATAAGTTTTCATAACACCGTAATGGTCCACCATTTCTAAAAACAATGATTTTACTTCTGCCAATATTAATCTTCAAATTCCATTTGTTACACTAAAATTTATCTAAACGCTTTTGTAGGCCAACTGGTGTGAAATCAAACATGACAATGTCGTCAGCAAAACATCAATGTAAACAACTCCAATTGGTCCATCGCTATTCCTTTTTGTCCATCAGAACTTAAAAGTCTTCAATATCATTGATAAATTTATTTTTTTTAAAACAGGTGACATTTGACATGCATGCCTCACTCCGTATTTACATATGAAAAAATCTGTATAGCAAGCATCCCTTTACATACAAGCTATAACGTGTTCAGTCTGCCTTTAACCCCACCATGCCAAAGTTTATACAATAAACCATTTCTGTAAACAGTCAAATGCAGCCTTCAGATCTTTAAATGCACAACAGAAACGACCACGTTTCTAAATATATTATCTGATGTCTGATATCCTTTCCGAAAACCCGCCTGTTCCTCTATTATTTTATCCTCAATATCAGCCCATATTGTTAAAATAGAGCAGATAAGTCGATGATGAAGTTATTACTGAAGCATATTACTGGATGCACAGATAACCTCACCGGAGTGTCTTTTTAAATACCTAATAGCAAGATTCCATGTCAAAAGACACGAGGGAAATATTATTTTTCTTAAATCAGTTTGAAATTACTACCTGTGTGATGTATTTCTGTGTTATCATCAATATAAAACACCTAACGAATGTGTTTTTCGTTTTAAACATTGATTTCCAATAGGCACATCGTTCGACGGTTATTCGTATACGTAAAACTATGTTTGAAAGTGCAATATATTCTGAAGTACTATTGCTAGGATTAGAACACAAACGTCATGCTACGTCACCAATCGATGATGAGAACTCCCTGTAAGAGCCAGTGTTGGAAATAAATGGGGGCCAACCGAGTATGGGATTGTGATGTTTATGTGTCAACAATGTCAATGTTAACAGGTGGTACAACAGAAGTACGCAGTCTAGCGAAACACTACGTCGAGAGGAGGCGCTACAACAAATACGTCAATACTACGGATATATTGTGAATGGGGTAAGATGGCAGACGCTGTAGTCATAGTCGTTTTTAAAGATTGCGCGACCTTAGTTGAATTATTTACTGAACTCTGATTTATTTCGTTTCCTTCTTTCTAGATTGACGTGCGATATAAAAGTTACTCCCCGCGAATGAATATTCGCTTGGTTGGTTATATGATAGAGGTGAGAAAATCTTGTCATTATTTGATTATTTGCCCGAGTTGAGTGTATAGTTGCACAATATAGTCCGTTACATCAACAACATACCCCGGACACCATGGGGAAGTGCAATTGCACTAACACCGCACACCGACCAATCCCTCCGCATAAAGTTCGTACTACATAAGAGTCGAGTTGGAGAATCTTTCTGGTAAATAGCATGCAATGTGATACAGAACAACGTTTATGAAAGGGTCGCCACTGCCGCCAGATTCTGTTGTGTTATATTCATGTGTAGTAGCTACTGAAGTAGGGGCTTCCTTCCCCTACTGGTCGAGATGCATGCCGAGTTGACACAGTGTACCTTGAATTTGTATGAGGTCTCTTCAGTTCAGTAAAGCTTGGCGAAATTATAACCAAACAATTAGCAACGCATGTGCATCCCCACTGAGTTATCAGGAAAAGTATTTAATGCGGTCACAACAAGCTTTGCCTTTTTTGTCAGGTAGAAAGTTAGCGCAATGGGTACGTTTTCGATAATGGTGTACATATGTGTGATGCACGTTGTGACGTACTTAAATGGGAGGGGGTGTCTATGCTACAACGATTATACAACTGTTAATAGTATCGCAAGTTGGAAACACATGTGCTGTCTCCAGATGTCCGGCGAGGGGGAGTGGATCCGCCGTGTCCGCCTGAACGAGACCCAGGAATACCAGGACCTCTACCGCGTGAATGGCGACAGGCTACAGGACGGAGCTCTCCAGTTGAAGCAGAACATCACACACCTCCCAGCCCACGACCATCTCATGATCTTTACAGCGTTAGTTTCCCCACGTAATGTAGCCCACCTTGTACAAGGGTGTGCATCTTTACACCGTTAGTTTCCCCACGTAATGTAGCCAACCTTGTACCAGGGTGTGCATCTTTACACCGTTAGTTTCCCCACGTATTGTAGCCCACCTTGTACCAGGCTGTGCATCTTTAAACCGTTAGTTTCCCCCGTAGTGTAGCTCACCTTGTAACAGCGTGTGCATCTTAACAGCGTTAGTTTCCCCACGTAATGTAGCCCACCTTGTACCAGGGTGTGCATCTTTAAACCGTTAGTGTCCCCACGTAATGTAGCCCACCTTGTACCAGTGTGTGCATCTTTACACCGTTAGTTTCCCCCGTAATGTAGCTCACCTTGTACCAGGGTGTGCATCTTTACACCGTTAGTTTCCCCACGTATTGTAGCCCACCTTGTACCAGGGTGTGCATCTTTAAACCGTTAGTTTCCCCACGTAATGTAGCCCACCTTGTACCAGGGTGTGAATATTTAAACCGTTAGTTTCCCTACGTAGTGTAGCGCACCTTGTACCAGTGTGTGCATCTTAACAGCGTTATTTTCCCCACGTAATGTAGCCCATCTTGTACCAGGGTGTGCATCTTTAAACCGTTAGTTTCCCCACGTAATGTAGCTCACCTTGTAACAGCGTGTAGATCTTTACACCGTTAGTTTCCCCCGTAGTGTAGCTCACCTTGTAACAGCGTGTGCATCTTAACAGCGTTAGTTTCCCCACGTAATGTAGCCCACCTTGTACCAGGGTGTGCATCTTTAAACCGTTAGTTTCCCCACGTAATGTAGCCCACCTTGTACCAGGGTGTGCATCTTTAAACCGTTAGTTTCCCCACGTAATGTAGCTCACCTTGTAACAGCGTGTGCATCTTAACAGCGTTAGTTTCCCCACGTAATGTAGCCCACCTTGTAACAGCGTGTGCATCTTTAAACCGTTAGTGTCCCCACGTAATGTAGCCCACCTTGTACCAGTGTGTGCATCTTTACACCGTTAGTTTCCCCCGTAATGTAGCTCACCTTGTACCAGGGTGTGCATCTTTACACCGTTAATTTCCCCACGTAATGTAGCCCACCTTGTACCAGGGTGTGCATCTTTAAACCGTTAGTTTCCCCACGTAATGTAGCCCACCTTGTACCAGGGTGTGAATATTTAAACCGTTAGTTTCCCTACGTAGTGTAGCGCACCTTGTACCAGTGTGTGCATCTTAACAGCGTTATTTTCCCCACGTAATGTAGCCCACCTTGTACCAGGGTGTGCATCTTTAAACCGTTAGTTTCCCCACGTAATGTAGCTCACCTTGTAACAGCGTGTGCATCTTTACACCGTTAGTTTCCCCCGTAGTGTAGCTCACCTTGTAACAGCGTGTGCATCTTAACAGCGTTAGTTTCCCCACGTAATGTAGCCCACCTTGTACCAGGGTGTGCATCTTTAAACCGTTAGTTTCCCCACGTAATGTAGCCCACCTTGTACCAGGGTGTGCATCTTTAAACCGTTAGTTTCCCCACGTAATGTAGCTCACCTTGTAACAGCGTGTGCATCTTTACACCGTTAGTTTCCCCCGTAGTGTAGCTCACCATGTAACAGCGTGTGCATCTTTACACCGTTAGTTTCCCCACGTAATGTAGCCCACCTTGTACCAGTGTGTGCATCTTTACACCGTTAGTTTCCCCCGTAGTGTAGCTCACCTTGTACCAGTGTGTGCATCTTTACACCGTTAGTTTCCCCCGTAGTGTAGCTCAATTTGTACCAGTGTGTGCATCTGTACACCGCCACGTGTTCATCTAAAGATCTTTAGTTCTCCATATAGTGTAGCTCACCTTGTACAAGCGTTTGCATTTTTAGGGCTTCAGTTGCCCCATTCGTGTGCAGGACAGGTTTCTAAGTACGAAAATATATAATGTAATCGGGTCGACATTTGCACTTCTTGTGGCCTGCTTTCTTATCATGTTATTGAATGTTCACAGTGGTTTACAACTAGAGCGGTCTGGGCAGATACTCTGCCATTGTGTGCTACCGGATGATCTGTGGCAGATCTGTGACCTGTATCATGGCTCTAATACGCTATGCTGGTGTGACCTGTATCACGGCTCTAATACGCTATGCTGGTGTGACCTGTATCACGGCTCTAATACGCTATGCTGGTGTGACCTGTATCACGGCTCTAATACGCTATGCTGGTGTGACCTGTATCACTGCTCTAATACGCTATGCTGGTGTGACCTGTATCACGGCTCTGATACGCTATGCTGGTGTGACCTGTATCACGGCTCTAATACGCTATGCTGGTGTGACCTGTATCACGGCTCTAATACGGTATGCTGGTGTGACCTGTATCACTGCTCTAATACGCTATGCTGGTGTGACCTGTATCACGGCTCTAATACGCTATGCTGGTGTGACCTGTATCACGGCTCTAATATGCTATGCTGGTGTGACCTGTATCACTGCTCTAATACGCTATGCTGGTGTGACCTGTATCACGACTCTGATACGCTATGCTGGTGTGACCTGTATCACGGCTCTAAGACGGTATGCTGGTGTGACCTGTATCAAGGCTCTAATACGCTATGCTGGTGTGACCTGTATCACGGCTCTAATACGCTATGCTGGTGTGACCTGTATCACGGCTCTTATACGCTTTGCTGGTGTGACCTGTATCACGACTCTCATACGGTCGGCTGATGTGACCTGTACAAGTATTTTAACAGGGCAATGTTTGGTCAGACTCCACTTGTTATATTGATATACCATACACAAAAAAAGGTTTGTGGGACATTCATGCTATGGGTAAGAACGGTATGAATTCTCAATCTCCCTCTAATTTAGATCTGATTTTAATGAGATGGTATGATACTGTATGGTGATATTTCAGGTATGATCTCTACTTCCAAATTGACGATACAAGAGGGGACCTGTTAGGTAAGACTAAGAATTGGACCTTCCACATTTCCTACCCCGTAGAAGAGAAACGAGAACAAGTTTATGGAACGAATCAATATAAAACGACAATCTACCTATATTATATGTTAAGATTTTATAGATATTGAAAAAGGCAGCCGACTGAAATTGCCACTTATGTCAACATATGCGTCATTCCAAAAAAAATCCTCTTCTGAAGGGTATCTTTGGTAACATAGTGTTGATGGATTAGGTATCGCCTTCTACGCCACCGTGTGTAAGCTGCCACCCTTCAGTATCTCCGTGATAGAAGACAAGGAGGTCTTGATGTCAGTCATCTTCACAGCAACACATGAGTTGGCTCACGGGTAAGCCACTTCTACATACATCATCACTCATCATCGCGAGCAGTTTAACATACGGGCATATCGCTGGTCCATATATCACCGCTCAACTTTCTCTGCAACACAGGGACATCACTGGTCCATATATCACCGCTCAACTTCACTGCAACACAGGGACATCACTGGTCCATATATCACCTCTAAACTTCACTGAAAAACAGATACATCACTGGTCCATATATTACCGCTCATCTTCATTGCAACACAGGGACATCACTGGTCCATATATCACCGCCCATCTTCATTGCAACACAGGGACTTCACTGGTCCATATATCACCGCTAAACTTCACTGCAACACAGGGACATCACTGGTCCATATATCACCGCTCAACTTCACTGCAACACAGGGACATCACTGGTCCATATATCACCGCTCGTCTTCATTGCAACACAGGGACATCACTAGTCCATATATCACCGCTAAACTTCACTGCAACACAGGGACATCACTGGTCCATATATTACCGCTCATCTTCATTGCAACACAGGGACATCACTGGTCCATATATCACCGTTCAACTTCATTGCAACACAGGGATATCACTGGTCCATATATCACCGCTCAACTTCATTGCAACACAGGGACATCACTGGTCCATATATCACCGCTCGTCTTCATTGCAACACAGGGACATCACTGGTCCATATATCACCGCTCATCTTCATTGCAACACAGGGACATCACTGGTCCATATATCACCGCTAAACTTCACTGCAACACAGGGATATCACTAGTCCATATATCACCGCTAAACTTCACTGCAACACAGGGACATCACTGGTCCATATATCACCGCTCATCTTCATTGCAACACAGGGACATCACTGGTCCATATATCACCGCTAAACTTTACTGCAACACAGGGACATCACTGGTCCATATATCACCGCTCAACTTCACTGCAACACAGGGACATCACTGGTCCATATATCACCGCTCGTCTTCATTGCAACACAGGGACATCACTGGTCCATATATCACCGCTAAACTTCACTGCAACACAGGGACATCACTGGTCCATTTTTCACCGCTCATCTTCATTGCAACACAGGGACATCACTGGTCCATATATCACCGCGAAACTTCATTGCAACACAGGGATATCACTAGTCCATATATCACCGCTCAACTTCATTGCAACACAGGGACATCACTGGTCCATATATCACCGCTCGTCTTCATTGCAACACAGGGACATCACTGGTCCATATATCACCGCTCATCTTCATTGCAACACAGGGACATCACTGGTCCATATATCACCGCTAAACTTCACTGCAACACAGGGATATCACTAGTCCATATATCACCGCTAAACTTCACTGCAACACAGGGACATCACTGGTCCATATATCACCGCTCATCTTCATTGCAAAACAGGGACATCACTGGTCCATATATCACCGCTCAACTTCAATGAAAAACAGATACATCACTGGTCCATATATTACCGCCCATCTTTTTTGCAACACAGGGACTTCACTAGTCCATATATCACCGCTAAACTTCACTGCAACACAGGGACATCACTGGTCCACATATCACCTCTAAACTTCACTGAAAAACAGATACATCACTGGTCCATATATTACCGCTCATCTTCACTGCAACACAGGGACATCACTTGTCCATATATCACCGCTCAACTTCACTGCAACACAGGGATATCACTGGTCCATATATCACCGCTCAACTTCACTGCAACACAGGGATATCACTGGTCCATATATCACCGCTCGTCTTAACTGCAACACGTGGATATCACTTGTCCATATATCACCGCTAAACTTCATTGGAACACAGGGACATCACTGGTCCATATATCACCGCTAAACTTCACTGCAACACAGGGACATCACTGGTCCATTTTTCACCGCTCATCTTCATTGCAACACAGGGACATCACTGGTCCATATATCACCGCTCATCTTCATTGCAACACATGAGCATCACTGGTCCATATATCACCGCGAAACTTTACTGCAACACAGGGACATCACTGGTCTATATAACACCGCTCAACTTCACTGCAACACAGGGATATCACTTGTCCATATATCTCCGCTCAACTTCACTGCAACACAGGGACATCACTGGTCCATATATCACCGCGAAACTTTACTGCAACACAGGGACATCACTGGTCCATATATCACCTCTCGTCTTCACTGCAACACAGGGACATCACTTGTCCATATTTCACCGCTCATCTTCATTGCAACACATGAACAGCTGACACAGTGGCTGGTCATTTATAACTGCGAGAAATGTTATAAATAATTTTTCTGCTCGAAAGCCCAGTTGAGTGACTAAAATATTGACAAAGAGCCGTTCTTTAAAATATTAATAAGTTGTTTGCAGTAGCATTTCCTCGAACAATCATAAGGATGTGTACTCTTGTCACGACCGGTGCATCACACTGATCGTTGTGTTGTTTCAGATTAGGAGTAGACCACGATGGTGGCAGCAACAACTGCTCTTCTGCCGATAGATACATTATGTCTGATGGGGTCGGCTACCAACGCACTGAATACAACACGTACAATCCCTACACCTTCTCCCCATGCTCAACCCTGAAGTTAACACAATACATCAGCACCCAGCTGGACATGGGGTGAGATACGCTGTCAACATTCTATACAAATATAACTAACCCATGTAACCTTACATCATCATACTATAGTATAAATACATATCAAGTGATTCCGTGGCATTTCATTGGCAAACCAAGCATCGCTTTTAAACCCAAACCAGGCCCACTAACGAAATACTGTTTACTGCTTGGATGATGCTAGAATGAACACGGCTTGCGATGAACAATGTCATTGATTTGGTATCGCTGTCTACAGTTTTTTTTGTATGTTAATGAGTAAATGAGCTGTCTGTGAAGTTATTATTGTTAGCACATTCACGCACAAGGAAGTGGCTTCAATTTCAAATGTTTTTGCGTTTGTAGAGTTCTGCGGATTTTCACAGAATACCCACCGGTTTTTATATACACATGCACAAAAGTTAAGCGCCACCCACCATATTTGTGAGCTGTTATTTTTGGCACTTAATGATGACTATTATAACGAGATGTACGATTGTTTTAAGCCGTATATGTAAACCTCATGTGATGCAAAAGTTGTCCCAAAGCAAGTTTATCTTGTGTTCCAAAAGAATATGAGCAGAATTGAATTTTATCGAAGACCAGAAATTGAAGGATTAGAAAACATTGAAAAACTTTATTTGTCATGTAACTGTCATCATATCAGCAGAACATATCAGGTGTCACATAAACACCCTAGGGAGTGCAGAGTCTATTGCAAGACAGAAACGTCAGTAACGTGTGTATGATCCACGGACATTGACCACAGCTTCAACCCTACGCCTCATACTTATTACAAGTCGTTGAATGCTTCTGTGAGGCAAACGGATCCATTAGTCATGAAGTGCGGCTTCAAGTCCAGCGAGATTTTGAACTGGGGGATCACGATGTCTGATTTTCCGGCCAAGATCGTCCCAGAGATGCTCAATCGGATTAAGATCCGGACTACAGGCCGGCAAAGGAAGAGTGGCAATAGCTTCTTGACGCAAATAAGCCAAAACTGCCCGAGATCTGTGTGGTCTAGCATTGTCGTCCATGTAAACAGGTCTTGTCTGAAGAGGATGGTTGTCAAAATGAGGGACTACCACTGGACGAAGAACGGCATCTTGGTAGTGTTGGCCATTCAGGTTTCCACGAAATGTCACCAGCGGAAGAATGCAGCCGAAGGAAACACAACCCCATATCATGACAGATCCCCCGCCACATGCTAAGGTCTTCTGGATGTTCCTTGGAGCAAAACCAGTGTTACCTTGCTTCCAAACACGTATTCGACCATCAACAGTTCGTAGCAGCATTAGACACTCGTCAGACCAATGGACCCTTCTCCAGTTGGCCAAGTTCCATCTACTACGGGCACGACACCATATCACACGATTCCGCATGTGCCTCTCAGTCAGTTGAGGACGTTTTACTTGTCTTCTGGCGTTATAACCAGCCGCTCTGAGGCGACGCCTTACGGTCATCGTGGAGAGTTTCTGATGGGTAATCCACTGCAGTCTTAAATCTGTGGAAGTGGCAAATGGATTTCGTCTGACTATCCTGAAAAGACGTCTATCCTCTCTGTTAGAGGTCTTTCTTGGCCTACCAGACCTATGCCTGTCATTGACATCATTGGTTTGACCATGTTTAACAATCAAACGAGTGATAACACTGTGATGACGACCCATTTGTCTTGCAATGGCCCTGCATGACATGCCAGCATTTTTCATGCCTATCACTTGCCATCTTTCAGCGTTCGTTACCTTTCTCCTCACCATGGCTGATTTCCATCACTGTTGGAAGGGGAATCTCACACAAGAGCAAAATGCAACCACGTGTCTGAAACTTGAATTTCACTATCTATAGGGGAACTGCAGCAACACGTAACGCACGCTTTCCTTGTGGTATCTGGACAAATTTGGGTTCATGAAACTATGGAAGCCTAATTCAGTCATACATCATCATATTTCGTATTTCTGATTCCCACACGTGAAATCAAGAGACTATGATTATGGTGGCGCTAAACTTTTGTGCATGTGTATATTTAAACCTCCACAAACACATAAGAATATTGAAGTCAATTCTGAAGTAACTTCGTTAGTACGGACCCCGTTAATCCGAAATCCTGTCTTCGGATTTGTTTTGTTTGTTGTTTAACGCCGCACTCAGCAATATTCCAGCTATATGACGGCGGTCTTTAAAACATCTGGATCAGACAATCCATTGATTGACATCATAGTCATTGATCCATACATTTGGGATACGATGACATGCATCAACCAAGTCAGCTAACCTGACCACCCGATCACGTAAGTCGCCTCTTACGACAAGCATCGTCGTCTATTGCGGCAAGCATGGGTTGTTGAAGACCTATGTTAACCCGGATCTTCACGAGTAACTGAGTTTCACTGACTAAATGAACATTGTCGTACTATACTCTGGCTGAAATTCCACGTGAATATATTTGTGACAGATATAACTAAATTGAGACCTGATTTCTGTACTTGGTTTCAGCGATGAGTCAAGGCGTTGTCTGATCCAGTGGATCCCGGCAAGTGACGTGCCTGATGTCACCAGTTCTCTCCCAGGACAGGTGTACAGCGCCGCCCAGCAGTGCCAGATAGCACACGGGGATCAGTCGGCCCTCTGTGTGGTAGGCGGCCTTGTCCACAACAACATACATGTGTTTCAACAGAGAATGGTGCAGGCCTGAGGTTAAACCTACACAATGTGGGTATGGTGCTTGGCAAACCACGGGTAACACTCAGGATGAATCTTGGAAAGTTCTGAGAAGTCTGTCTAAAACATATCAAGATGCAACGACTGTCACGTCTCTTTAGAGGAGACACTCTTGTTCCAATGAATGTCACATCGCGGAAGGCTGTCGTAGCACCATGACTATCGCGTTATGGAAGGCTATCGTAGCACCATGTCTATCACATCACGGAAGGCTATCGTAGAACCTTAACTATCGCGTTATGTGAGGCTATCGTAGCACAATGTCTATCACATCACGGAAGGCTATCGTAGCACCTTGACTATCGCGTTATGTGAGGCTATCGTAGCACCTTGACTATCGGTTATGGAAGGCTATCGTAGCACCTTGCCTATCACATCAAGGAAGGCTTTCATAGCACCTTGACTATCACATCACGGAAGGCTATAGTAGAACCTTGACTATCACATCTAAGAAGGCTATCATAGCACCTTGACTATCGGGTTATGGAAAGCAATCGTAACATTTTGACTATCACATCACGGAAGGCTATCGTAGCAACTTGTCTATCGCGTTATGGAAGGCTATCGTAGCACCTTGACTATCACATCACGGAAGGCTATCGTAGCACCTTGACTATCGCGTTATAGAAGGCTATCGTAGCACCTTGACTATCGCGTTATGTAAGGCTATCGTAGCACCTTGACTATCACATCACGGAACGCTATCGTAGCACCTTGACTATCGCGTTGTAGAAGGCTATTGTAGCACCTTGACTATCACAATACGGAAGGCTATCGTAGAACCTTGACTATCGCGTTATGGAAGGCTATCGTAGCACCTTGACTATCACATCACGGAAGGCTACAGTAGCACCTTGACTATCGCGTTATAGAAGGCAATCGTAGCACCTTGACTATCACGTCAAGGAAGGATATAGTAGCACCTTGACTATCGCGTTATGGAAGGTTATCGTAGCACCTTGACTATTACGTCACGGAAGGATCTATTAGCACCTTGACTATCACATCACGGAAGGCTATAGTAGAACCTTGACTATCACATCACGGAAGGCTATCATAGCACCTTGACTATCGGGTTATGGAAGGCTATCGTAACACATTGACTATCACATCACGGAAGGCTATCGTAGCACCTTGACTATCGCGTTATGGAAGGTTATCGTAGCACCTTGACTATTACGTCACGGAAGGATCTATTAGCACCTTGACTATCACATCACGGAAGGCTATAGTAGAACCTTGACTATCACATCACGGAAGGCTATCATAGCACCTTGACTATCGGGTTATGGAAGGCTATCGTAGCACCTTGCCTATCACATCAAGGAAGGCTTTCATAGCACCTTGACTATCACATCACGGAAGGCTATAGTAGAACCTTGACTATCACATCTAAGAAGGCTATCATAGCACCTTGACTATCGGGTTATGGAAAGCAATCGTAACATTTTGACTATCACATCACGGAAGGCTATCGTAGCAACTTGTCTATCGCGTTATGGAAGGCTATCGTAGCACCTTGACTATCACATCACGGAAGGCTATCGTAGCACCTTGACTATCGCGTTATAGAAGGCTATCGTAGCACCTTGACTATCGCGTTATGTAAGGCTATCGTAGCACCTTGACTATCACATCACGGAACGCTATCGTAGCACCTTGACTATCGCGTTGTAGAAGGCTATCGTAGCACCTTGACTATCACAATACGGAAGGCTATCGTAGAACCTTGACTATCGCGTTATGGAAGGCTATCGTAGCACCTTGACTATCACATCACGGAAGGCTACAGTAGCACCTTGACTATCGCGTTATGGAAGGCTATCGTAGCACCTTGACTATCACGTCAAGGAAGGATATAGTAGCACCTTGACTATCGCGTTATGGAAGGTTATCGTAGCACCTTGACTATTACGTCACGGAAGGATCCATTAGCACCTTGACTATCACATCACGGAAGGCTATAGTAGAACCTTGACTATCACATCACGGAAGGCTATCATAGCACCTTGACTATCGGGTTATGGAAGGCTATCGTAACACATTGACTATCACATCACGGAAGGCTATCGTAGCACCTTGACTATCGCGTTATGGAAGGTTATCGTAGCACCTTGACTATTACGTCACGGAAGGATCTATTAGCACCTTGACTATCACATCACGGAAGGCTATAGTAGAACCTTGACTATCACATCACGGAAGGCTATCATAGCACCTTGACTATCGGGTTATGGAAGGCTATCGTAGCACCTTGCCTATCACATCAAGGAAGGCTTTCATAGCACCTTGACTATCACATCACGGAAGGCTATAGTAGAACCTTGACTATCACATCTAAGAAGGCTATCATAGCACCTTGACTATCGGGTTATGGAAAGCAATCGTAACATTTTGACTATCACATCACGGAAGGCTATCGTAGCAACTTGTCTATCGCGTTATGGAAGGCTATCGTAGCACCTTGACTATCACATCACGGAAGGCTATCGTAGCACCTTGACTATCGCGTTATAGAAGGCTATCGTAGCACCTTGACTATCGCGTTATAGAAGGCTATCGTAGCACCTTGACTATCACATCACGGAACGCTATCGTAGCACCTTGACTATCGCGTTGTAGAAGGCTATCGTAGCACCTTGACTATCACAATACGGAAGGCTATCGTAGAACCTTGACTATCGCGTTATGGAAGGCTATCGTAGCACCTTGACTATCACATCACGGAAGGCTACAGTAGCACCTTGACTATCGCGTTATGGAAGGCTATCGTAGCACCTTGACTATCACGTCAAGGAAGGATATAGTAGCACCTTGACTATCGCGTTATGGAAGGTTATCGTAGCACCTTGACTACTACGTCACGGAAGGATCTATTAGCACCTTGACTATCACATCACGGAAGGCTATAGTAGAACCTTGACTATCACATCACGGAAGGCTATCATAGCACCTTGACTATTGCGTTATGGAAGGCTATCGTTGTACCTTGACTATCACATCACGGAAGGCTATCGTAACACATTGACTATCACATCACGGAAGGCTATCGTAGCACCTTGACTATCGCGTTATGTAAGGCTATCGTAGCACCTTGACTATTGCGTTATGGAAGGCTGTCGTAGCACCTTGACTATCACGTCAAGGAAGGATATAGTAGCACCTTGACTATTACGTCACGGAAGGATCTATTAGCACCTTGACTCTTGCATCACGGAAGGCTACAGTAGCACCTTCACTATCACATCACGGAAGGCTATCGTAGCACCTTGATTATCGCGTTATGTAAGGCTATCGTAGCACCTTGACTATGACATCACGGAGGGTTATAGTAGAACCTTGACCATTGCGTTATGGAAGGCTATCGTTGTACCTCGACTATCACATCACGGAATGCTATCGTATCACCTTTACTATCACATCACGGAAGGCTGTCGTAGCACCTTGACTATCACATCAAGGAAGGATATGGTAGCAGCTTGACTATCGAGTTATGAAAGGCTATCGTAGCACCTTGACTATCGCGTTATGGAAGGCTATCGTAGCACCTTGACTATCGCGTTATGTAAGGCTATCGTAGCACCTTGACTATGACATCACGGAGGGTTATAGTAGAACCTTGACCATTGCGTTATGGAAGGCTATCGTTGTACCTCGACTATCACATCACGGAATGCTATCGTATCACCTTTACTATCACATCACGGAAGGCTGTCGTAGCACCTTGACTATCACATCAAGGAAGGATATCGTAGCAGCTTGACTATCGAGTTATGAAAGGCTATCGTAGCACCTTGACTATCGCGTTATGGGAGGCTATCGTAGCACCTTGACTATCGCGGTATGGAAGGCTATCGTAGCACCTTGACTATCGCGTTATGGAAGGCTATCGCAGCACCTTGACTATCACATCACGGAAGGTTATCGTAGCACCTTGACTGTCGCGTTATGGAAGGCTATCATAGCACCTTGACTATCACATCACGGAAGTCTATCGTAGCACCTTGACTATCAAATCACGGAAGGCTATCATAGCACCTTGACTATCACATGACGGAAGGCTATCGTAGCACCTCGACTATCATATCACGGAAGGCTATAGTAGCACCTCGACTATAGCGTTATGGAAGGCTATCGTAGCACTTGGACTATCACATCACGTAAGGCTATCGTAGCACCTTGACTGTCGCGTTATGGAAGGCTATCGTAGCACCTTGACTATCACATCACGGAAGGCTATCGTAGCACCTTGACTATCGCGTTATGGAAGGCTCTAGTAGCACCTTGACTATCTCGTTATGGAAGGATATCGTAGAACCTTGACTATCGCGTTATGGAAGGCTATCGTAGCACCTTGACTATCACATCACGGAAGGCTATCGTAGCACCTTGACTGTCGCGTTATGGAAGGCTATCGTAGCACCTTGACTTTCACATCACGGAAGGCTGTCGTGGGACCTTGACTATCACATCACGGAAGGCTATCGTAGAACCTTGACTATCGCGTTATGGAACGCTATCGTTGTACCTCGACTATCACATCAAGGAATGCTATCGTATCACCTTTACTATCACATCACGGAAGGCTATCGTAGCACCTTGACTATCACATCAAGGAAGGCTATCGTAGCAGCTTGACTATCGCGTTATGGAAGGCTATCGTTGTACCTCGACTATCACATCAAGGAATGCTATCGTATCACCTTTACTATCACATCACGGAAGGCTATCGTAGCACCTTGACTATCACATCAAGGAAGGCTATCGAAGCAGCTTGAGTATCACATCACGGAAGTCTATCGTAGCACCTTGACTATCAAATCACTGAAGGCTATCATAGCACCTTGACTATCACATGACGGAAGGCTATCGTAGCACCTCGACTATCATATCACGGAAGGCTATCGTAGCACC